CCTCACATGGCCTATGGTATTCTGTTTCCCACTAAGTCTGCTGCACTCCAGCTCTCAACAGGAAATTGGTTTTATTTATAAGAATCACAATCCTAAACTGACCTTTGCTGGGCTACCCACCCACATTCCCTCCCTCCCCTTCCTCTCCTCCCCAAGACACATCCTCCCTCCACAGATTCCTCAGTGACCACAGAACTAGCATCGAAGAGCCATTGGGAAGACAGATAGAGGAAAACTACGAAGACTGGAGGTTATTTTCCAGATGGGGAAACTGAGGCCTGGGGAGCTCAGCAATTTGCCCAAGGAAATGGAACCCATGGGTCTCCAGGTTGCTGAGCCGCTACTTTCCATTGCACCATGACTGCCTTCGTGTCTCAGCCAGGGCTCTGCACAGAACAAGCCATTCTCCCTTAGCTTGGGGAAAGTCTCTCTTCTTTGAATGACAGAAGCCTTTAAAGAAACATTTCCCGTTATTAAAGGGAATTGGAAGGAAACTAGCACAGCATCCTCAGCTTTGAAGCTCTTTGGCCCTTCCCAGCCCTTTAATTGTGCTGGAACCAGCCCAGCTCCCAGAGCTCCCACCCCTCAGATGAGAGGAAGGGCCCAAAGGAGAATTCCCCACTCTGCTTGGCCTTTCAGCACCAAAAGTGACCTCTCAGAATTTCTGTTTCAGACCATTTCATTGCCACACCATCCAGGGCTCCCACACAACTTCAAAGTCAGAGAGCTCAGGGTCAAGTACAAGGAGCAAATCCTGAGCTCAGGATTTTAAGCATCACAATTGAGATCGTTTTTAAGCAACATTCCCATAGACTTTTAAAGCCTCTAATAGCTGAAGGTGATTACAGCAGATTTCTGCAGGTATTACAAGATTTGGTTAAGGCACATCATGTGGGTATGGGGAAGGAGGGTATCCCTTTCACCCTACACTTGCTCTTACTTTTCCAGGAAAGGAAAGTGTGTATATAATTACTGACCTTTTTTGCTATTTTAACATTTCATTTTTTAAAAAAAGGAAATTTGGTTCCCAACTTTGGCTGCACATTGGAATCATCTGAAGACCTTTAAAAAATACAATGCCCAAGCTGTGCCCTAGACCGATTCAATCAGAATGTCTTGGGTGGGGCCTTTACATCCATATTTTTGAAAGCTCTGCAGATGATTACAGGCACAACAAAGGTTTAGAACTACTGCCTTAGGTAGAACTTAGGTAGAAAAAAAACCCTGAGTTTGTAGGCATTGAAAAATAACAAATACAGACGATTCCTGAAGGTAGCATACCCATCTCTTTTAACTTGCTTTTCTTTTTCAGACCTTCCCTGACCACAAATCTCAGGATTCCCATACAAGCTTTGAAGTATTTTACTGGCTTGACTCTTTGTAGTTCATATTTTCCTCCAGCACCCTACAGCTAAGTGGGGAAACCGGATGATCAGATTCAGAAACAAAAGAACACAGAAAAAGAACGATTACACTTTGAACCAATTACTGTGATCAAAATTGAAGTTGAATATCTCAACCAGGCCCATCTGTATCCAAGTGTGATGCAATTTCAGGAAGCTTCGGCATGGATGTTCCAAGCACAATCCACAGATAGTAGGTCAGTCACATTTGGCCCAGACTCACTCACCAGCTGGGAGAGCAGTTAGAACCAGAATGCGTGACCACACTGGGTGAGTTCAGCCAATGGGCTCATGCACAGCAATAAAAGGATGCCCTTATGAGAGTCATAAATATGTAAACACATAAGGATGGGAACCTTCTCAAAGCACCCTGTAGGACTTGGCCCCACATCCTGACATTTGCAAGAGTCTTACTGCTTATACAACACCAAAGAAATTCACATACAAGACACAGCCACTTTACCATCGCTATTTATGGTAACTCTCATAAAAGCACCATCTCTCTAGGAAGGGATTCCCACATACTCCATGATCCCTTATTTTTGCTTGAGTGAGCCATGGCTATCTAGCAGACATCTTGGAAGGGACAGGGAAGAAAGTGTGGAAGTGTCTCTGCATTAGACATAGGGTGATATTCCAACCACCTGTCAGCTCCAGACCTCTCTTTACATCCTGCAAGACAATGGAAAATCCACTCAGAGCCTAAAAATCAAAGGCTATTTTTGGAGGATGTATAATACATAACAAGCAGGCTAAGGAACATGGCAAGACAATTTCTCCTACGTGAACTGCTTTATAAGATTTGCAAATTAGAGAAAACAGTTTGAGACTCTGAAGACAGCCACGAGGCATTTCCACCTACCTGGGAGAGGGACAGCTCAAAATTGGAGATATAGAAACAGAATGAAGAGGCATTTAAATAACACATCTAAAAAGTGTCGCACATAATAAGAATTTTTCTTTACAATTTTTACTTAGGTTCTTAGATCCCAATAAACCTTGCTTTTTCTATTTAACTTTGTTGTTTAAACCGCTATACCTAGTTATTCCAATAACTTTTTAAAAGTGCCCCTATCTCCAACAAGCAAGAGGAGACTATTGATTCTGGTCAATTACGCTGACTAGACACTCCAGCTTTGCAATTCAGGGAGCTAGAAGGCGCCCCAGAGGCCAACACTTCCTGTCAGATTCAACTCAAGGCCTGAATTCCGAGAGAGGGTCCCTCCCAATGGGCCGAGGGGCCCCAGTCAGGGAGGGAGTGCAAAGGGCCCTAGTTAGGAGGAGCTGGACTGTAGCTTCCTCAAGTGTCTGAGACAGCGTTTAAGTGCGCATTCAGTCATTCAAGCACAACACTGACGTGATCCCAGCAGAGATGGGCTTCATTTTGCACAGACGAACTTTTCTATTTAAAGGATGTTCAAGGTGCAACTCATCTGCCTCTCAGGGAAATGGGGAATTCTACATCCTGGGGCTGGAGGAATCCCCAAATTCCTCAGTGAAAGGTGTAGTAAACATATTAGCAGCATGACACAAGTGAGACAAAATAAAGATTTTTCTGATGAGTCAAACACCCGAATTTGAGTTGGAATAGCCTCTGAAACATAGGTCATTCTCAAGTTTACCCACTTACCACTCTGTGTCTGATTTACTGCAAAATGATGAGGCAGATACATGTGTTACCAAAAACATAAACACCCTGAACTGGAAACTAAGTTTCTTTCAGTTGGCAAAAAGCCCCTAACTGATCCTCTTCCCGGATGGGAGGATTTCAAGCTCCTGAGAGAGAAAGATAACTAAGAAGACTTTCATCAGGTCAAGGGCCAAGTCAAAAGCTGTCAATACAAAAGCCTTCTGAGAACAACTGGACATTTGGGAAGAAGACCCCAAATGTGATCTGCCCTGATTTTAGAGAGATTAATATGCTGATTTGAGAAAGCAGCTTGCAACCTACAGCTAACACCTCCCCACCCCCCACCACACACACACACACACACACACACACACACACACACACACCCCAGCTTTGCAAGTCAGGGAGCTGGAAGGCACCCCAGAGGCCAACACTTCTGGTCAGGCTCAGCTCAAGGCCTGGATTCTCAGAGAAGGTCCCTCCCAAAGGGCGGAGGGCCCCTGGTGGAGGAGGGACTGCAAATTGCCCTGTTACCAGGAGCTGCACTGTGGCTTCCTCAAGTGTCTGAGACAGCGTAAGTGCGCATTCAGTCATTCAAGCACAAAACTGACGTGATCCCAGCAGAATTTGAGACGAAGAAAACCACTGGGTTAGAAATTCGAGAGAGGCTTCGGGAAGGGTTCGCAGAAAGAAATCAAAGGTGGCCAACTCCTTTGACCCTGTCCCCCCCTCAACCCCCGATCCCCCATCCCCCACCCCCCGCCGGCTCCCTGCTGTCGGCAAAGCCCCTTCCTGAATCTGTGAAGCTCTGCCAGGGACTTGGATCTTTCGTCTTCACCAGTAACCAGGCGACCCAGATGAGGAAAAGTAATGGGAAAGTGAAAGACGGGACTACTGCCGGGAACGAGGCCGGTCCCAACAGGTCCCTTTATGTCAGTTGCAGGGATCGGAGCCCGCCGGGAGGGAGATTCCTCGGGAATCTGAGCGTTCTCTTTTTATTACTCTCTCCCAGGGGAAAACAAATATAGACGCAGCATTTCCTCTCGCAGGTTTGGCAGAGACTGGTCCAGCACCAGAGAAGGCAAGAGGCTTTTCCAAAGGGAAGGGGTCTGCGGGGGATGGGGGAGGGGGGAGCGCCCGCATTCCCTGTACTCCCTTTTCAAAAGAACCGCAATGGAGACTTGTTGACCAGCTCCGAGGCTCCGAGTGCGGGTGCTAAGCTGAGCACTGGACGCACCCGGGACGCCCAGCCCACCAGGGTTTGGAAGAAATCCCGGCCACCGCCAAACCCAAAGCTCGCCCAGCTGCGCACTGAGCTAAGCCCAGCTGCCGGGACGCCTCCAGGAGCTCCACCTGCCGGGCACTCCATGCGGCCCCCAACCCTCGCATCTCTCCTTTCTTGGGGTGGGGGAGAACAGAAGGGGTTGGAGAGAAACGGCGACCCGAACCGCTGGACGTCTGGGGAGGCCCGACCTAGCCCGAAGCGGGTCTGCGCGCCCACTCTACTGTCCAAGCGCTTGGCCCCGAGCAGGAAGCCCCTAGCCCGGCGGGCGACCGGGCGAAAAGACCCACCAGCCCGCCCCTTTGCCCCCAGCAGCTCTGCACCGTTCCCACGTTGTTCGGGGGTTCCTCGGCCCCAGGCATCTCTCCCGCGCAGCGGGACTGAGGGTGGACTGGGGCGCCGGGCGCACCCTCTCTCCTGCAACAGGTGAGAAGCCCCGCCACGCCCCCCACTGACGACCCTCTCCTTCAGCGCCCAGGAGGATCAAAGGGCTCGGGCCGCGGCCACCACCTAGGAGCCCACCCACCCGTTCTGCGGCGCTACTGTAGCCCCCTCCTCCACCCAGGTCCGGGCTGGTCGGGCTCTGCTCATCCCAAGTCCGGGCCAGACCAACCCTAGCCCTGCCCTCCGCGGTGTTGGGCGAAAGGGAGTGGGTGCGCGCCGCGCGGGGACCCAGTGCCCTCACCTTTGTACCGCTCCATCGGACCCACTGAGTGCGCTCCTCGCCACTCGGCTCCGGCGCTGCTCTCCCGGCTCTCGGCTCCGCGCCCAGGCCGCCGCGCTTGCCCCTCCCCGTGAGGTCACGCTCGCGGCCGGACCTCCTGGCGGGGCCGCCGCGCCCCGGGTCCTGGGACCAGGCCCCCGCCGGGGCGCGCCCCACGCGCCCCTGTCCCGGCGCGGGAGAACTCCGGCCCGCCGGGGCTGACCGTCGGCGCTGGAGTCGTTGCGCACCCGCGGCCCCGCTCGCCGCCCCCGGTCGCCTGGCACTCCCTTCACGTTCCGGCTCCGGGGGCGGCGGGAGAGAGTGAGACTGGGACGTTCCCAAACTCTGGGGGAGGCTCCGGGGGGCCGGGCTTGGGTGGGACTCCAAGACTGTCCGCCCCCCCCCCAACCCCACCCCTCCACCCCGCTGCAAAACCAATGCCTGGAGGGAGAGACTCAGGTCCCAGCTAGGAGGTCCAGACTGGCTTAGAGCGCCTCCCGCTTGACTCCCGAGCCAGAGCGCTTTGGCCCTAAACCTTCCTGGAGGGGCGACTAAGGTAGGGGTGGGGGCAACCAAGCCTGCTTCGTGTTCCTTGGGGATTACTCCCACTCTCTGGGAACCTCTCTGGGCAGCCGCTGCCGATCGTGCACACTTTATGAAAACATCCGCTTGCTGCCTTCTACCTGTATTTCCAGGGCCAACGCCACAAGTTGGGGAGCGCCGTTTCCAGGGTGCCCAGGAAACCTGACCGCCTTGGAGGGGTGGCGCCGGTTCCAGAAGGAAGCTCGGCGGTGCCTCTGACTCTCCACCCTGCACTGCCTCCATCCAGCAAGTGCCACAGTGCATCCCTTACCTGTGGCCACCGGCCCCTCCAGGCCCTTAACGTGAGCAAGTCTTCCCTATCGTCCCCCACCCCCGGAGATCTATGTGTTCTTTTAAACTTTTCAGTTTTCACTTTAAAATCTCAGTCACGGTTTGTGCGGGGTTCCTGGTTTCTCAACAAGTTCCCCAATTTCTCTGAAGGAACACTTAAGGAAGATTTGGCAGTGGCTCTTTTCTAAAAGGCTTCTTAATTCTTCCTTGGAATAGCAGATGTGGTTTTGATGTTTGGAGACCTCCCTCACCCCGTCCCAGCAGCATGTGGACATATTTTTCTTAGCTGTGCTAGCATCTAATGTGGATGGCGCTGTCCCCACAAGCAAGGCACGGTGCTAAGAAGCATACATCATCACTGCCTTTAGTTTCCCCCATAACCCTGTGACGTGGGTATGACTGTGATATCTATCACAGCGGTGAAGCAGCTACGGCTTAAATAGGTTAAGCAATTTGCTCAAAGTCACACAGCTAGAAAAGAGCAGAGCAGGCGTTAAACCCAGAGCTGTCTGCTTCCAAATGTGTATTTTTATTTTTTTTAGAGACAAGGCCTTGGTTTGTTGCCCAGGCTGGAGTGCAGTGGCACCATCTTGGATCACTGCAGCCTCAAACTCCTGGGCTTCACATTGATCGTTAGAGAAATACAAATCATAACCACAATCAAATACCACACTGTCAGAATGACTATTATTAAAAAGTCAAAAAATAACAGATGCTGGCGAGTTGTAGAGGGAATGCTTATACATTGCCAGTAGGAATGCAAATTAGTTCAACCATTGTAGAAAGTAGTTTGGTGATTTCTCAAAGAACTTAAAACAAAACTACCATTGAACCCAGAAATCCCATGATTGGTTATATACCCAAATGAATATAAATGGTTCTACCATAAAGACATATGCACATGTATGTTCATTGCAGCACTACTCACAATAGCATAGATATGTAATAAATCTAAATGGCCATCAACAGTAGACTGGATAAATAAAATGTGGTACATGCACACCATGGACTACTACACAGCCCTAAAAAAGAACAAGACCATGTCCTTCACAGCAAGGATGGACGGAGCTGGGGTTCATTTTCATAAGCAGACTAATGCAAGCACAGATAACCAAATGCCACATGTTCTCACTTTTAAGTGGGATCTAAACACTGAGTACACATGGACACAAAAAAAGAATCAACAGACACCAGGGCCTACTTGAGGGTGGGAGGAGAGTGAGGATTGAAAAATCACCTATTGGGCAGTATGCTTATTCCTGTGTAATGAGATAATCTACACACCAAACCCCTGTAACACACAATTTACCTACATAACAAATTTGTACATTTGTCCCTGAATCTAAACGAAAAGTTTTAAAAGAAAAAGAATCAGAAAATTAAATATTTTAAATATATATATTTAAAGTAAAACTGGGATGTGTTGTGTTAAATGAAATAAAATGTTTAGGCCAGGTGCAGTGGCTCATGCCTGCAATCCCAGCACTTGGGAGGCCAAGGCGGGCAGATCACTTGAGGTCAGGAGTTCAAGATCAGCCTGGACAACATAGTGAAATCATGTCTCTACTAAAAATACAAAAATTAGCTGTGCGTGGTGGTGCACGCCTGTAATCCCAGCTACTCGGGAGGCTGAGGCATGAGAATCACTTCAATTCAAGAGGTGGAGGTTGTAGTGATCTGAGATCATGCCACTACACTCCAGCCTGGGCAACGGAGTGAGACAGTTTCAAAAATCAATAAACATTTAAAATTTTAAATGAAATAAAATGTTTAAAAACAAACAATGACCAAAAATCCTCCTGCGCTTCAGTAATCCTCCCGCCTCAGCCTCCCAAGTAGCTAGGACTACAGGCACACAGCATGACACTCGCCTAGTTTTTTGGGTTTTTAAAAAATTTATTACTTATAGAGACAGGGTCTCCAACTCCTAGGTTCAAGCGATCTTTCCACCTCGGCCTCCCAAAGTGCTGGATTATAGGTGTGAGCCACTGTGCCAGCCCCAAATAGTTACAAAACTTCTTGGCACTCATAGGAAGTGCCAAGCTATTTGTTACCATCTCAATGGGCACACAGCTAAGTGAACAGTACAGAATCAAGAGGCAGATGCTCTCATAAGACAGAAACACTAGGGATTCTGGGAACCTACAAGAGGACCCAAAGCAGCCTGGAGAAGCCCAGTTCCCCTGGGAAGAGGCAGTGGCTGTGCTGAGTTCCGTGAGTTAGATGACTGCGATGAGTTGGCTGAGTGTGATGATTTCGAATTAGTGAGGTGACAGGAGAGGTGCAGTGAGTGCAGCCTTCTAGGCAGAAGGGACAGTGGGGACAGAGGTGGGGAATTGAGTCCTTTCAGCATCAAACAGCTCTGTTACTACAGTAGGAAGGGAGAAGCCAGGAGTGAAGCAAGTGAGGCTGCAGAGGTGGGCACAGCACTGCTCCAGGGTGCAGAGTGCTGAGCTGAGGTCAAGGAGATTAGCAGCACTGAAGAGTGTGAGTGCCCCGGGGATCCCCCAGGGCCTGAGAGCAGGGGGAGCACAGGAGGCTGTTGTACCCACCAGGTGAAAAGTTATGGGGCTGTGGAAAAGTGGATGGGGAAGAGAGAACTGGTGGCAGAAACATCTGAAAGTTGTGCCTGAGCAGAGTGTGAGGGAGGAGGAAGAGCTGAGGCTGACTGCAGTTTCCAGCAATTTCAGTGGTTAGCTGAACGGCATCACCCAGCCCTCATACATGAGGCCACTGTGTGCCAGGTGTCACCAGGAACTGCAGAGCATGAGGAGGGCAAACAAGTCTTGCTCTCCTGGGCTACTTTGGGGGTGGGGATGGGGATGGGGACAATGAGAAGGAAAAGATGAGCATCATTGAGCCAGAGACTCAGAGGTGGCTGCAGGCTGGGGAGCTGAAGAAGGTGAAAGGCCCACGGTGCCCCCCGGGGGAGTTACAGCTCTGGGTCTGTAGTCTGGAGCTCAGCCCCTGACATCAGCCGCGGGTCCATGTGGGCCTAGCTCAGAAGGGTTCAAGAAATAGAAAAGTCAGAGGCTGTGGCAAGAATGCTGATGTCTCACGGAAAAGAGAGGGAAGAGCTTTCTGCGGGCCCCGTGCAAGCTGGAACTGGAGAGCGGAGCAGGACGGAGGGCATCTTGTCTTTTTGTGTTCTCTCTCTCTGCTTCCCTTTCTTTCTTCATCTTGCAAACGGCCCTGCCTGGCCTCCACCCTCCATTCTACCAGTGTCGAGAGACTGCTAGCAATGGTCCTGGTTGCCGTTCGCATTCTCAGGGTGAATCCGATGGTGCAGCTCTTCCTTTTGAAGCAGTCCTCAAGTCTCTGGTCCCAGTCCTGGCTGTCATCCCGGGCCAATGGAGCCAGGTGACAAGGTCCCACTCAGCAGCTGACTGCTTGAGCTGACTGTCCCACCAGGGGACCAAATTGTGCTACTTCTATTTCACAAATGAGGAAGCAAAGAAATTAAGGGACTCGTCCAAAGTCTCAAATTAAGTAATCTCTCTTTCAAAACGAGGACTCAGAAATGAAGTTTCCCAACTCCAATTTCCTGTGCTTTAACATAGCCCTTAGTTCGGGCTTTCCCAGGGCTCCAGCTGGACAGAGCTTTACCCCAGCAAACCCTTTGGTGGCCGCCTCCCTGAGCACTTCCCATAACCGCAGCCCCCTCCCTCCAGGCTGGGGACAGCTCAATATCTCCATTTTGCCTGCCCCGTCTGCCCCTTTCCTTACTGGCTCCAGCCTCTTTAATTACCTCTTCCCCAAATCCTCTGTAGTTTATTGATGGAGACTTGGCAAATCCCGTAGTCTCTAGACAAACAAAAATCAATCAGAAATGTATGCAGAGTGAATTCAAAACGGGAATTCACTGCCTTTTCCAAGAACAAAACTGAAAAAGAAAAAAAAAAATCAACACTTAAAACCATCAATAGGAATCTTGGGCCTCTGGAAGCTCAGGACTGCTTCCTTCTCTCCAAAACCTGGGTACAATTTAACCCCTTGTGGCTTTGCAACATCCACACAGGGCTCATTCACATTTTGATTCAAATTCATTGGGTTTTATACATTTCCTTATTATATTCCTGTGACGTAGAGTAAACAAAAAATAACTTTCTAAAGACCCACGTAACTGAAGTTCAAAGAGCCCAAGAAAGTCAGTTTGGGAAGTGGCAGAGGTAGGGCACTTTTATTCCGACCCTGCTTTCATACAGAGGTTGGTGATTATGAGAACCAGTGTGTTTGTCCACGTCACGCTGCAGTTCAGGGGCTCATGGTCCAGAGCCTGCATCTCCTTTTTGCAGCCTGAGGGTCCCGGGCCCTTTTTGGTCCCTAGGATGGTTGATGAGCAGGCCCAATGGGTTTCTACTCCACATGAGAGGTTGGCTCCTCCTCTCGAGGCTCTGTGGGTGCCAGCTCAGCCGTGCCCTTTCCTTTCCCACTC